TAGATTTCGACAATTTTAGGCTCGTTAGAATCGTCTCACTGAGACGTTCATTTTGGTGGTAAAATCATCCCAAACGGATCAGTGAATAAAAAGTTATTCACTGTCAAATATTTTTACCATTTTTATTAGTAATTACGCAAATCCGCCCATATGATTACAAACACTTTGCAGTTAAAATTATATTGTTATGCACAAAAATTTTTAATGAATTTATTATTGTTAACCTTGGCATTTATTACTAATATTAATAAATAACTCGTAATTTGAAACAATATTAATTTCCAACACTACATGTCGATTCTGCGATTTCCGAATAAAGAATTCCGTAAATTTTTTAAACAAATGAGTGATACTGTACTAATTAAATACCGTTGGATACTGTCCCATTCCTAATTAAATACTGTTGGCCACTGCTCACAATACCCGAGTCTCATTCAAAACTTATGTAAGATTAAGTAATATATAGTACTATAAAAATTGCCCGTCTCTATGTGATATGAATTAACGTTAAAAATCGATCGATAAATTAAAAACCAGCTTTAATTCAGGTTGAAAATTAGCCTTGGTCGGTTTTTTTAATTATCACTTAGTCGATTGAAACCTTTCATTGAAATTTAATTTAGTATATATATAGTTAAATAATAATTTAGTGAAACCCTTTTCAAAGTTGGTAAAAATTTTTACTTTACAATAAATCCAGAGATTCAAAATATGTAATTGGTCAGAATCATCTGCTTCGCTTGACAATATTTATTAACACACTATCAACAAAAAATTACTACAAAACCAATTAATACTTAATTTTTTTTTTTTTTGCTTATATTTATTTATATTAGATTTAAATTGTTCAAAAAATGTTGAACAGAATCCGTTCAACTATTATTATTAAAAGGTAAAAATTAGATAAAGATCTTTTTTCGTCATTAAGTATTAAAATTAATCTGTTCATACTTGGTGCAGAATAATCACTTTCATCAAAATGAACGTGATCAGTGGATATAATGACAATATCATTATGTTCAGCATACGTAGAAAATACTATTACAAATAATAATAATAATACTAAGAATGTAATTTATCGCTAATATTTCATAATCACCTGACTATCTCAAATAAATCAGCAGCAACAACTTCATGAACCTTAGAACTCCAATGTATCAGATCCCAATAAAAATATTTTTCTGGAGTAAAATATTCACCTTCTAAATCTCCGCTTATGGAACCATCATAAGGATTTATGAATTCATCCCTAACATTTTTAATCTCCAAATCCTTTTGAAGACTCGATTTTTTCGGTGATTCTAACAACTTTTCTCCTATTTTTTCCCAGTCCTGATTTAATGCTTCCTCTTTTAACATCTCTATTTCATTTTCTGTATCATAACCATGTATGTTTATATGATAATATATCTTTTTGAGTAATTCTATGAAATTCTTCAACGCCCGGTTATGACTTTTACAGACTGATTTTATTAAAGAAAGCTGTTCTTCTGATTCATTTTTATGTAATGGTGATTGCGATAAATCTGGAATTCCAGGAATAAGGATGTGTGTGGCATCCAAGTGGTTTATCAATAAAGAGACGCAGGAGGCTATATTGGTAAGTATGGTTTTAGGGAAGGCGGTATAGTTTGATATGATATAATCTTGTCCCATTGTCCACAACTATACATGTAAAAACAAATCAATTAGGATTAAGAAAAATAAGACTTTGAATAGTGTTCCGCAACGAGTCGGCTTAAATAAACTTACTACGGAACACTATTTTTGAATTCAAAAAGAATCTTACAACAAAAAGAGTTCGGTCACAATTTTCATATCTAGCTCTGCTTGAAATATAATTTTGAACTTGCTGTTTAAGTCCCGGAACGTCAGGTTGCTGGTTTGTTTCTTGGTTGAGACTATTACTATTTGTCATAAAAAAAAAATTAGATTATAATTTTCATTCACGATAATAAAATATTAAAAAAAAAAAAAAAAAGTTACTCTGATGTAGCTCCGCCAAATGCACAATTGACTAACTCGACATCAAGCAGCTCGGCAAGATATTCTGACCACACTTTTCCATCACAGAAATGGCCTTCAAAATTCATTGATGACAATTGACTTGAATTTGAATTCATCTTGTAGGCATTTCCCGTATCTTTTGGACAAAAAGATGTTTTTTATTATTTTATTTTAAATATTTAATTGATAGTTTGGACAATAAGAATATGTATATTTTAAAAAAATTTAAAATTCACCGGAAAATGAATCACCAAAAACGACCAATTTGTCATATTTCCTGAAGGGTCTAATATGCCTACCGTTACGTTGAAAGGTACAATCTAACGGTTGTTTAGAGTATTTGATTATGGTATCGATGACTGAATTGATTGTTAATTGTAAATTCATTTTCATAAATTTGGGATGATGATTTATATAATAGATAACGTAATATTGTAGAATAACGTAATCAATTCTTTCAAGATTCAACAAAGTATTATTAGAATTTATCGGACAGACAAAATTATACAAGGGAATTATTATGGTGTTTGTAAAAATATTTCTAACAAAATACTGTACAAACAAAATCGTAAAAAAGAATGACTGGTAGTTATGCAAGAACGAAAATCGATCTTTGCTTGAGAAAACTATTCTACGAAAAGATAGTCGTCGAGTTGGTCGTCGTCGAAAACAAAAAAAAAATAAATTTTTTTTCTTTGATAAATTTACTATTATCGTTTCATCTGTTAAATAGTATTTACGAATGCTAATATTAAAGCATTTATTAATATTAATGTTAACGCATTTACATACATGCAATCCATTGTGTTACAAAATTTGTTTTGTTTGTATACGCATATCAAAAAAAGATTCATGCAAAGGCGATGTGATAAATATCATAAAAAGGACCAATAATATTTGTATTATCATTGAACGCGCCTTAGGATAACGGTGGATAATGTCAGGGTAGTTAAAATATATTTATACACATTATAATTCGTTTAAATTCTTGAACTTTGCATCTTTCAAAATTTCTTTGTTATCAGAAAAAAGGAATAATTGGTAACTCTAATACGTTTAGTTATGACATATTCTTGTTTAATTATATGTAACGGATTAATTGAACCGGTTGCCTATAATCAACAACAAATTGGTCATACATTTCTTTTATGTCAATAAATTAAAATAGTTTAAGCTTGCATAGCGATAGCGATAGATTTCTATACTCCATAGATCTTTAGCAGTTTCTATAATCCATAGATCTTTAGCAGTTTATATAATCCATAGGTTTTTAGCAGTTTATACAATATACTATAAATGGCTTAGACTGTCGACATTTCATGAATCTTGACTACTTAGAGACAGAAAAATATTGAATCATATAAAGTTTGCTATATTTGAAGGTCGTTTGTTTCATGTATCTGTTTGCATAGAAGAATATTAAATTGGCATTATTTAAGATCGTGCATTTCTTGAATCAGTATATAGGCTCTAAATATCTTTGATTTAAAATATGATAGGTCGTGCCTGAAGTTACCATTTCAGGTTCCTGAAGTGTATAAGTCTAGCATAAAGGTTGGATGCATATGGTGAATTGATATATATATCAGCTTTTTTCACTCTTGTTAATAATTTAATCAGAATAATTTAGTAGAATATGATCATTTATTAATAAATACATTTAATACGTATGATCTATTCAAGCTCATCTTTATTTTTTTTAAAAAAGTAAAGACTAGTTTTGGTTTTTATTGAATAGAATCACAATAGCATGATATATGGATTAAAGTTTTGCTTTGACGGTATCATGATTGGATAACAGAATATGTAAAGTAATAGAGACCACCAAGTCAAAATTGATAGTTTTTTTTTTATCTAAACGAAGTGCTTGAAGTGTTCAGAGGGAGTCATAAATCCAATAATATAATTTATAGCATCTTTACATAACGAATCTCATATGATCTAATTCATTAAATTATGAATATTTATTATTATGACTATTTATTATTATAAAATACCTATTTCTTCCATGTTGATTTAATGAAAATAAAAGTTATTTCTTATAGCAGTTATTTTTGCATAGCATCTCGTTATGTTTGTCGTATTTGTGTAAATATAACGTGTGAATGAACCATAGTTTAAAGAATAAATAATAAAGTATAGTAATGAAATACAATAATTTTCCTTTCGTTAAGTTCCAACAATAATTAATATTTATTTTCTGTGCTATAACTGAGTGATCTCATAAAATTCTTTCGTAAACTCTGTTGATTATGGTCAAAAACAATTGCGTATAACCCGCGATTAGCATAAATGAAAACCGTTTTATTATTAACATTATATTCTGTTCACATGAACACATGATCCGGTTATAATTTTATACTATGTTAATACACATACGTAGTATTTTTTTTAGAGCCGATCTTCCTTTTATAAACTTATGAGGCATTTTTATTAATATTATCTAAATTATATAAATGATAGTTTATAGGTGATTTATCGCACATGTGACGGCGTACGTGGTGTTAAGTTCATCTGAAAGTGCCACATAATTTATGTATTGGCCCCCTTAGGGAAGGTACTTGCTAATATTTGCTTTCTGTATTAACCCCTCAAGGGAGGGAATTGTTAAATACAGTAAAAGCGTTTTATGCGACACTTTTTCTGAGATTTTAAAACAATTTTGTATTCTTACTAATACAAGTAACACATATTAACATAGTTGTAAATTATTTTATCCGTCTACTTCTAGGCTAAAATGTATTTATTCTGTGTTAGTCACAAATTTTCTATCGAATGCATAGTGTTAACCTCAATTTACTTATCAAAGACCGGGGCAAACGAAAACTAAGACAGGGAACCACGTGTGTAGGACTAACTATGTATGTACTGTAATAGTTGGATAGGTAAATGATTGAAATTTTATATGATATAAATATTGATTACAATATATACTAAACTTATTTCGCTATCATCCCTTATTACAGAAGTTACTGCGGTGACGGAAGATACCTAAAGATACAGATCCGTGATCGGTTTGTCACAGAAGTGACTGTGGTGACGGAAGATACCAAAGATACAGATCCGTGATCGGTTTATCACAATGTTGGGAAGATTGCTATGTCCAATTGTTTTCAAAGTTTATTGGACATATGTCCAAAACTAGTTTTTTGTCCAATTTCCCAACACTGGTTTATCACATGATCTTGTTAAGCTACCCCAGTGGGACCATCGTAGATGCAACAATCAGTTCTTTTCCAGCAATCGACTCAATATGAAACCACCTACTGCGCAATAACAAAAAAAAAAATCTCCATAAAATTTTAGTATAAGATAAGCCATTATTTAAGTCATAACCTCAACCCTAACGTAGTTTTTTATTAATTTAAAAAAATTCGATTGTTTAATTAGTGCAGATCATCTGATTGGTGCATATTGTCGATCTTTCATAGTCTCACTGGGGTCTGGTTACATTTATTTGAGAATTTTGGAATTTTATACTTATGTTAATAACCATGGTATTTTTTAGAGCCGATCTTCGAAGCCGTTATAACTTTTGTTGAAAAAATGAAAGCTAAACTATTTACATAGGTTAAGAAACTAGATTGGATAAGATCTTATTCGAATAATTAAGAACAAAAAAAAAAAAATGCAACAATAAAGTTTTTCGTAAACCGGCAACTTAACAATTTTAATTGAAAAGAGTTTAGTAATTAAAACAATAAATTAACAAAATGAATTAAAGACAATGAAAATTAACAAAGAAATTATTTAACCCGATAGTTAAAGTTGGTCATAAAGAACTGATCAATACCCTCAAATAGGATCTATTATTTGTAACCGAACAATCGAATAAATTCGGGGGGTTTTTTTTTGTTTTTTTTTTACAGTGGTAATTATATAAGAGCAAATTTTTTTATTAAGTCTAGTTTTAAAATAATTTTTCATAAATTTTTTTTATTTCTTTATGCTGATGAAAAGTTGTATAATGTTGTTTTGTCATAGCCGGGCTGGTAGATTGACGTTTAATATTATAATTAATATATGCTTATATACGTACACTCGTACTTTTCACATTTTTATTAATTCTAAATTTTCGTAAGTCAGTGAACAAACCGTAGCCACTCACATACCCGAGCTTTTTTATTGGTTGCACTGGGGGAGGATCTTCGTATAATACAGTAATACACCTATATAACCCAAATTTTAAGGTGTTAATACTTATCAACTTACGTGATGCCACCAAAAACAAGAAAAGTTCAAAAAAACAAAGAAACGGCGAAAGTTCCACTTACTATTGGAAGCAAGTCCACGCAAGATGGTGCTCCTTCCTTACGGACAGAACTTTCTAGTGGTAGAGTATAGGAATAAATATTAGCTTGTGAAGGAACCACATTTTTAACCACATTTTTATGTACGAAAAAAAAAATAGGTTTGGAGGAAATTCACCTAGGTCCACGTGAAATCTGGTTTAAATATGGGGATGTTCAGCCAACTAGAGTTGTTTTCGAAGGAATTGTGGATGACCTGAAAGGAGAAATTAAGGAAAAACTGCCAAATCAGTTGGGCGATGTTGATGTTAATCAGATTACACTAAAAATGCACGGTGAAGAAACGGATTTACGTGCAGATTTTATTATTGATCAAAAATTTTTAACTACATATGACACGCCGCTACAAGTCATTGTAAATTCACCTGGTTACGTGTCCAAGTCTAAGCTTATTAAAAGATAGAATAATTTTTATACTAACTTTTTCCTTTATTATGCTTACTACCAGCCTCACGAAAGCATAAAATTGATGACACAGTGATTAAAGAATTAAAGCATGAAATTAATGAAATTAATGATACAATTAAGACAGTATTCGCCCAGCAAAAATCTCCTGATAGGGTTTCGGTATCAAATTTGTCTGAAATGAGAATGGGAAAAATTTTAAATAATATTGGAGTTAAGCAGATAACGGTAAATATAGCTTATATAATAATAAAAAACTTCTTATATTTTTCATCAAGACTAAATTCATATATTTCATTTTATCTAGTTCGTAAAAGAAGATTTCGAAAAACTTAACCCCATTTCACACCCACCATTCGAATGGAGCGAAGAAACCGAGGCCCAACAAATGGATGAAGTTGTAAAATGGTTTGATGACGCGCTAAAATTACCACGGGGCTTAAACGTTTGGGATATACACACGGATGTAAACTATCAGCGAGAAATAAGAAGTGCAAAAGTTCTTTTAACTGGTGGTGGTGATATAGCTATTGGACCTAGTAGAACAGATTGTGTTTGGGTTGGGGCCAAGAAATCAATGGCAGAATGTAAAATAGGTCAGGCTATTGGAGAGTTATTATTAGTAGATAATCATTCTGCTCTAAATTCAATGGTTGTCCTGACGAATTGTAACGACTTTTGGATGATACTTTATATCATAAAAAATAATAATGAAAACTACATTATAAAATGTGTTGTTGATCGTGGTTTAGCTTTAGCAATAATTAAGCATTTCGTAATCGAAGAAGGCAATCGGTTAAACAATTGGATAGGAAAGTCAGCCACTTACATATCTGAAGACACAATTGAACCTTTTAGAAAAAAAGCAAAGCTCACTGAAGACATAACTGGAGAAAGTGATGAAAGGATGGAATTAATGATTGATGACATGTCAGAAGAGGAATTACTCAAGATGAACGCTCGTAAAAAGTTAAAGATTGTAAGAAGGTTTTGTAAATTAGACGAGCAACCATATATTGATCAAATTATCAGTCGGCTTTGCGATGATTATGAGTGTGAAAATTCACAATTGTCAATGTTTGGATAATTCAGACTGTTTTTATTTGACAAATTTTAAAGGAATTTAATCGCAAAAAAGCTTCAATTTTTTAAACATATATATATATATATGTTTAAACCTTTAATACTAATAAAATAATAAAATTGTTCTTTGTGCCAATTTTTACGATTATATAACTTGGTTTTTGAGCGAGTAAACGTTTTATTGAATTTCTGTATTGGATACTTGCAATAACTGCCATCGCTACTGAAATATTAATGTTTCCAAACCTGCTAATTGCATTATGTTGAATGTGAATTTTCTAATAACGCATTATTTTCATAAACTATTAATTTTCGTTTTAATAATATTCACGAACGAGTTTTAATTTTTTATTTATAAATTTTTAAAAATTGTGTATTTTATATGTCGGTTTAAGGATGCCCGCACTGTATTAGCATTTTTTTAATTTTGTTATAGGGGGTGAGACTCACCCTGGGTGAGAAATAAATGTGTCCTATCTTTAATTACCTTTTTATTCTTGCTTTTTTATTAATTTTACTATCTTTCACTAGTTTTGTTCTCGTTTCGCCACCTTTTAACAGTTTCACCAGTTTCGCCACCTTTCGCCATTTCGCCATTTTAATTTTTTTTTTTTTTTGCCGAAAGTCGTAACTAGGTTTTGCCATTCGTCTGTGGCGAACCTCTAAGTTTCGCCTGCAAACACTAATATCGACGCATAAAAATCAACATATTTACATCTCTATGTATCTATATGTCCAATAATAAAAATGTCTAATATTTTTAATAACGGAAGTTGCTTACTAATTATAGCTCAGCCTTTTTTTGACTTCAAGGCTTCACCAGGTTTCGCCTTCGGCATTTCCGATTTAGATTTCATATTTCATCTTTTGCAGGTTTTAGATTTTAGATTTCTTTAGTCACCAATAAAAAAAGATTCCATCTAACAACAATAGTTAAATGCTATTTTATGTAAAATACATCAATAATGTAATCATTCTATAAGTTAGCATATCGACATGTAAAGAATTCGTCAAATCTTTTTTAAAATGCTCAGTTAAAAAATCTCCACAGTTTGTATAAAAAATAAAAATATTGATTTCTTGAGCCACAATAAATAAATATTACTTCAGGTATTTTAAGCCACATAAGATATTTTAAATACAAAAAATTTTCCCTGTTCTTATTTAAACCATTAATACTCTGTTAACATTTAGAAGGTTACAAGGAATAAATTATTCATTATGTCAAAAAAAAAAGAATATGTTGAAATCGAAGTTGGTAATATAAGCTATGTATCCAATATTAAGAAGAAAGAGTTTGACTACGTAGAAATAAACCTTTCGAGAGACCTTGCAATTAGTCCAGAAGGAGATTTTGTAGTTGAATTTATGGCAAAAAATGATAATGAATTTATGGCAAAAAATGATAATGAATTTATGGCGAAAAATGATAATTCTGGTAAATACCTGCGAAATACGTAACTGTTTAAATCGTGGTTTGCAATCATCACTCCAGCAATCATCACTCCACAAACGATTGTAATTGTGACGAAGTGGTTTTATTACATCAATAATTATTTTGAGATTTGAGTTCTTGTCAGGACTCATTCTTACAAAATTTTTGACGCAACAGAAATAATTTTATTGCGCCACGATCGATTGTTTGTAGCGCAGTGAAATGATTCTATTACTCGGATGATTTTTTGAGAATGAATTCTGACCAAACCCTATAATAAACGACAAGAACTCAAGCTCAGAATATTTTTAGAAATAACACAATCGATTACTCGAATGATCAACAAACTACAAACCGCGATAAATCATGGAAAATTATCGGCTTCACTGGCTTGCGATGCTGTAATACATCTCTGCCTAAAATCATGTTCACTCATATAACTTCAATTAGAATAAGGCTACATTATGCGTAACATCTCCTTTCCGATATCACTTTAAAACGGTGATTTTCTTAGCTATGCCTGTTTTTTACTTAATTCTTTGTCACGTCTAGAGGTGCAGGCGAATCGTCCCAATGATGCCGTAACGTGCCGTAACTATATTAAATAACTATAAAAGGTTACGGCAAACTTGCCGTAACTTTTATAATTATTTAATATAGTTACGGCACGTTACGGCAAAGTTACGGCACGATTCGCCTGCACCTCTAACACCGACATATATTATATTATATTTAATGATTATTAACCATAGTAAATACGTAGTATGTATGGATCTTAAAATTTTGTCGATGTAAACAGAATCCGCCGAGAGGGATATAAGCAATTAATTCGCTCATCTGAGAGTTTCTAATACCATTTTTGGCATGCATAGTAAAGATGGGCCGCTCCGCATGTTGCGCAAAAGTTTTGAGGGACTATGCAGTGTGAATTTTAAAATTCAGACTAGCCAGTGTTATTATCGAATTCGGAAGAGCGTCAGGGTATTAGTGTCGTGTTTAATCCAGCGATAGTGAACTGAAGGGATAAAGTGTTAAATTGTTGGTGTTAAAAGGTGGGAAAGACAAGAATGAGTGAAAGAAAAAGGGAAATAGAGGTGGTATTTATAAGAAAGGAAGTAAGAAGAGGTGGTAATGTGGGAAATATGGTAAAAATTAGAGATGGTCAAAATGGTATTTTCTATATCATGCACGCGTACTAGTTTATAATATAGAAATAAGGTATTGATAATTACACGAAAAAGTTTTAATTTAGAATTTATAATTATGAACATATGATTGAGTGGAATCCGTCCATAGACTAGGTAATATTAAAAAATTGGAATGATGCGTCTGGTTTGTAATTCCTGCAACCTGGTTGGGTGGTGTAGAAAGATTATTGGAAACATGGCACACAAGAATTTTCGACAAATAAGTGAGAATCTGTGAACCAACTAACACATTTGCACTTAAACCTCGTCTGGTTCTGAAGATAATTTTAAGATTTTTTAAAAGTTAACATTTTTATTATGCCGTTTATTGGACACATATTGATACACTTATGCAGTTTGACAATAATATGAAATGCACATTTTGTGGATAGCAGGCTTAAAATATATTGATTGATTCCAAATACTGAAACAAATACAGTCAACTCTCTCTCTTTCTTCAAAAATGTTCTTTAAGGATTTTTATATGTAAAAAATTTTTCAGGTTTGGTTCTCAAAGAGTTACTATTAGCTAATCAGAACTCTATAATAAAATTTACAAACGTTCTAGAGTTTTTCATTCAGATTAGAGAGAATTTAATAGTGTTCAGATTAGAGAGGTTCGGATTAGAGAGTGTTAACTGTAAATACTTAATGGTATTTCAATATGCTAATAATGAAAGACTTTACGAGTTTTTAAGAAAAAATTCTTGTGATATTGCCTGAAAAACTAAATTCAAACTACTTCTTGAAATTTCTAAATGTATTGTATAATACATAGAATCATATGCAAGGAATCACCCATTATAAAACTTGCAATCAAATACATAATACATGTAGAAAGCAAAGGAAGAATCATATTTTAAAAAAAACTATTATAAAAATAGGAACAAATCTATTATCTTTAATGTTCAGAATTATTTCATATATAATATTATTAATTACAAGCCAAAATCAGTAAAAAGAATATGAATCATAATAATTGCAAAACAAATAATTGAAATATAATAGATCTATTTATTATAATAAAAAATTTTACAATCTAAGAATAAAATAGCAAGTAATATTGCATTATTGATAACTTAATTATATTTGCCTTTGAAAAATAAATACATCTTAAGACAGAAAATATAGTTTCACTAATTGTCCAAAGAAGAGAATAGAATTTTGAAAGTTGCAATCTTGAGAGTTGTAATCATATTACATAAAATATGAATATTAAGCAGAAATTTTTTTAAAAAATAAAAAAGTGTTAATAAATATTAATATTTAAATGGCAAATGAATAAATTTAAAATTTACCAATACTAACCATGAAAATAAAGGCTAAATATTTAATATATAATTTGAATAAAGAGAAAAAATTTACAGATAGACAGATGCTTACTCTTCCATATATTATTAAAATAAAAAATAGCATAAAGGCTATTAAAGATCCTATTTATCTAATGTCAAATAAATCTAAATAGTTCTTAAAGTACATTGGTTTCAGCCTAAGAAAATTTATAATAAAATAAGAATTTTTATTGTGCTTTGTGAACAATTTAAAATAAAGTATACAGTCTTCAACAATATATTTATTAACTGCAATAGCAAGTTTGAAATGTGTGACAGGTTAGTGCCAGACTTCTAATCAGATTTCAAGATTAGGTGTAATGTTATATGATCAGAAAAACTTTAAAACAAATGCTCATTTTGCCAAAAATCAAAAATCTGCATAAGAAACAATTTTTTGTGCTTTAATAAAAATTTTTTTTTGAATGATTTTACTATATTTCTAACTTTAATACAAATGTTAACCTAAACATCAATGAACTTTAAAGAATTTTGCACATTTCAGATGTGTGATCAACAACATACATAATCTGTCACATATTCTGGTCTTACACTGCAATAATGGGATGTTCTATAGAATAGGTGGGCAATATAAGAAATAAGCTTCGCTAATGATTAGTAATCATTAATTTTTTAA